CTCTTAGCTAACTCATGAGCCACAGCATTTCCAGTCCGACGCACGTGTTTGACTCGGCAGTGCAGGAAAGAGGACATCAACAGCTTACAATCTGATAAGACATTTCCCAGGTCTGAATTTAAGGCTACATTGTTTGACAGTGCAGTTACAATACTGGCACAATCCGTCTCAATAATAATTCTCCCAAGATTTAACTCTTGAGCCCACTGCAGTGCACGCCGGATACTACATGCTTCTACGATTTCTGCAGCTGCAACGTCCCGCCCCTGACAGGCCATGGTTGCCAGAACTTCTCCGCAATGATCCCGAGCCACTGCACCCATACCAAACACCTTACGTTGTTCTGCTACTGCGCCATCGACATTGATCTTGATGGTCTGCTCGTCAGGAGGCTTCCACTTTGTCTCGCCATGCACTTGGACAACTCCAGATCCCCGCCCCATTGATTGCTGCGCTCGCTGATAATTCATCAAGTAATTCACGCCTCCTTCAATAATTTGTTGAGGGTGTGCCCTTCTGCCATTCCAATGAGCTTCATTTCGAGAGCTCCAAATCCTCCAGCTTAAAATACAGAGAAGCTCCAACTGCTCCTTCCCCAGTTCAGTACACATAGCATCAAAGAAATCTGCAAAAGAGCTAGAGGGGAACTCTGAAACTCGAAGACTGAGGGAGCTTCCATGCCACACCGCTCGAGCGACGGAGCAAAACAAAAGACAGTGTGCCACAGATTCCATAGCAGAGCCACACACAGGGCATTCCAACTCCACTAGTATATGCTTCTTCTGCAGATTATCCCTGGTAGGAAGTACATTACGATAAGCACTCCAAATGAAAAATTTTATCTTACCCGGAATACTGAGGTTCTAGACTTTATTGCCACCAAAGGATGCATTGGAGCTACTTGGAACACCCATGTCCCTCTGCATATTCATCGCACAATGGTATCCAGAACGTACAGAGTAGGTACCATGCCGTGTGAGACTCCACGTCCACCTATCCTCACGTTGCTCCCAGCTAATTGGAAGAGATATGATTAGATGAGCTTCATAAGAAGAGAAAGTATTCTGGATTAAGTCTCGATTCCACGCATGAGAACTGTCATCAATTAAGTCACTGACATATCTAAGCTCATAGTTGGGCGGACGTGGTGATTGGAGATAAAACTCAGAATTTCCTGGAAGCCAAGGATCTCCCCAGATCTCAGTGCTACGCCCATCACCTAGAAGCCGCCGACAACCCCTGCTCAAAAGCTCTTTCGAGCTACATATACTTCTCCAAGTTAGGCTACAACCGGGTTTCAAAACAGCGTGCAGGAAGTTGGTGCGAGGGAAGTATTTTGCCTTCAATAGCTGGGCAGCTAACGAATCAGGATTTGTCATCAATCTCCAACCTTGTTTCCCCAACATGGCCATATTGAATTCATGGAGTGCCCTAAAACCCAGCCCACCATGCTTTTTCGAAATAGCTAGTCTCCTCCATTCCAGCCAGTGGATCTTATGCTCCTCCTCACCCCCTCCCCACCAATATCTGTTCATAATCCGCTCAAGGTCTGTACAAAGCGTCTTGGGGAGCTTAAACAAACCCATCACATAAGTAGGAAGAGCTTGAAGAACAAATTTAATTAAGACCTCACGACCTGCTCTGGATAGTGGTTGTGCCCTCCACTCATTAATACGAGCCCAGAATTTGCTTTTTAGATTGGAGAAGGCTGCAGAACGTGATCTACCAACATAGGCTGGAAAGCCCAAATACTGGCCTTGATGCTCGATCTCTTCCATGCCAAGAATATCTGTAATACACCTGCGAATGCTACTATGGACACTACTACTAAATGAAATAGCTGATTTGCATAGATTCACCTTCTGCCCTGACATCAATTCATACTTCTGGAGGATGTCCTTCAAATTCTGGGCCTCTGTTTCAGTAGCTCGTAAAAATAGGAAGCTATCATCGGCAAACAATAAGTGGGATATGCAAGGGGCCCTGTGGCAAATCTTTATACCATGAAGTAACCTTCTTCTCTCAGCATCGTGTATCATAGCAGTAAGGCCCTCTGCATAGAGGATGAAGAGATATGGAGAGAGGGGATCTCCTTGACGTATCCCCCTAGTTGGAGATACTTGCCCGGCCTCGGAGCCATTCAACAGCACCTCATACTGAACTGATGTAACACAAGCCATAATCAATTGTATCCAATGCTCAGCAAAGCCCAGTGATCTCATAATCTGCTCAAGATATGGCCATTCTACCCTGTCAAAAGCTTTACTCATATCAAGTTTGATGGCCTGCCACCCCCTTTTCCTCTTCTTTCTTACTTTCATGTGATGTAGGACCTCAAAAGCAATCAAGAAGTTGTCTGTGATGAGTCGGTTCGGCAAGAAGGCACTCTGCACAGGTGAAATCACTGAGGATAGAACCGATTTAAATCGATTTGCTAGTGTTTTAGCCAATACTTTGTAAATAACATTGCAAAGACTAATTGGACGTAAGTTAGCCATGGTTTTTGGTTTGGGGCACTTTGGTATAAGCACAATGTTAGTGAAATTCAACTGCTCGGGCAGGGGTTCATTCTCATTCAAAAACTTTAAACAAGGGCCTATCACATCCATTTTGACAATATCCCAAAAATGTTGGAAAAAACCCGGTGATAAACCGTCAGGCCCCGGAGCCTTGGATGGATGCATTTGGAACAGGGCACGTGTAATGTCGTGCTCTGTAAATTCACTGAGAAGGAACCTGTTATCATCCTCCTGTACACAAGGCTCAACACAGTTCAACACATACTCCAAGTCGCTTGGTGAGGAAGATGAGAAAAGTGATTCAAAATAACTACTAGCAATACTCCTGATTTCTGCTGGATTATCAGTCCATTGGCCATCATCCTTCAAAAGCTTGCCAACTGTGTTGCGCTCCCTTCGCCTGGAAGCCCTCATGTGGAAGAAACGAGTATTGCGATCACCTTCCTGCAGCCAAATGTCCCGTGACCGTTGTCTCCACAATATTTCCTCACGCTCAAGCCATTCCTCAGTCTCAACTAGCAGTTGTTTCTCTTCAGATAAAGATTTTGCAGATTCAGGTTGGCACTGTAACGCCTCAAGAGCTGTTATGTTCTGCTTAATCCTACGTTGGACATGGCCAAAATGGGTCAAGTTCCAAGACTCCAGTGTACTCGAGCAAGCCTTGACCTTTGCTAACAAGCCATCCCAATTTCCACTGCCCGGAGTTGAAGACCAGCCCTGTTGTACTATCTCTCGACAGTTGTCATCCCGCAGCCACATATTCTCAAAACGAAACTTCCTTTTCCTACTACTCTTGCGTATATGCTTGCCAGCTAGAGTGATCCATAGAGGACAATGATCAGATGA